TAGTTGCTGCAGTGAGTTAATATAAATTAATAATATGATGTCAGAATGCAAGCATGTGATTTAGTTTTACCTACAATATTTTTACATATTTTCCTTGTACCTAGTTAATGGTGTTGCTATATTTGAAACATCAAATTCGTAAATCAGTTACTTCCTCTTGATATATTGTATCGTAATAGGTATTAGGTAGATGCCATTGTGGAGAGCTGAGTTGAGGCTGAAACAATCATTGGACTTGGAAAATTATTGCAACCGACTAAATTACTAGACGATCATAATTGCGCAGTTTAATTATTGGATCCGATAAAGTGGTTTTGGCGTTTGCTTTTCTTTAATATTTACAATTTTATTTATGACGTGTCGGCTTGTTGCCAAGTGGGATGCGTGCATACTGCATGCATAATAATGACAGTGAGTTCCCTTTGTCCTGTATTAGCTTGATAAGAATGTAAAAAAGACGACTCACGTCAAAATGGCTTCTGTCTTTATAAAATAACATTAAAGTTCACATCATTAACCTTTAAACTGTTATATAATGACCACATCATTTTAACAATGTGGAAGGAAAAGATTTAAAATACGTTTATCACAAATTGTTCAGTTTATCACAAAATAAACTCTGTGGAAAACATAACAAGGCGTGAATTTAACCTTCAAGCGGGCGCGCGGTCTTTTGTAACGGGAGCGGGCGCGCGTAACCGAATAGACCTATGGGATGAATAAGACCAAGAAAGCAATAATTATGGGATAATCATTTATTAATTTGTACTAAGATACAATATCATTGTCTTTAAAGAGAAATTTGTCACAACAAGTAATTAAAGTTATGAAAAAGAAGCAATTATTAAGTCACCTAAAGTAACTCAAATATTCTTCGGATCAAAATAAAAATTAAGACCCGTTTACATATGTTAGGTTGGTTTATATACGTAGACCAAAAAATAAATAAAAAGTAAGGATAAAACTGTAAAAACTCATTAATTTTGATTTTATTTTCGTCTGAGTCAGTATTCTAGTAATTTTTCAGATTTTGCTACTTCGTTACTTTATCGCGTCCTGTAAAACAGCTATTTATTTCCGAAAGCTACAAATTATTCTCATCTAAATCCGACAAGGATGATATCACATCAGATAGATGTTCTTCTAAAACTATGTGATGAGAAGTTTCAGAGCCTTGGTTGCTAAGCTCTGATTCACTCTCTTCTTCGTCTTCTCTTTGTAATTCCTCGATTACTGTACTTTGCGATAACCATAAACGACTTATTTTAACAAAAAATGCTTTAAAACACCAAAACTCCAAGCTGAATTAGATAATATTGACATGTGTATGTCGCGTTGGGCGTCGCGCGTAACCTATTCGACGACAGGCGCGTGTAGTCTTTTCAACGACTGCGCCAGAGCCTAAAAAAATGTAATTTGTGGAGTGTAGAGAGCGCTTCAAGCAACGAAATAGTTTTTATTTTACTCCTAAAAAGATAGTGACAGGCTACTAGAAATAAGAAATGCATGTGGCAACTAAAAATAAAAATACGAACGAAAATGTATTAACCGCGGTCGATTCGACTACGCGCGCCCGCTTGAAGGTTAATGCATTTTTAGTTAAGTGTGATGGGACTTCTTGTGTACAAAGACTATTTTACTAAGAAAAAGAATTAGAAAACGTGATTCATACAAACAAATGCATGCCATCAAGGTTATGTTGTAGTCACAATCAATTCACGGGTCGTTGACCTGAAACCTGCCGGTTGTGTACTGGTTAATTCGATAAAAAGGCCAACGCATCTATCAATCTTATCTACAGACCTACATTTCTCTACGAACAAAAGTTAGATACTAAAGTTTCGATTTCTAGTGACCTTACATCTGGATTTACATTTGTATTTTTTAGATTAATGCCTCTTACTCATCATTAAGGTTATCTTTTTGGTGTTTGGTGCATATTATTCATGTTTTTTACCGACTTCATGACTTATCTTGTTCTGTTTGTAAAGTAATTTTCATACTGATCTTTACTGTAAAAGGCGATGACATTATTTTGACACCTAAGTTAATAACTAATCGGAAATGCATTGGTTTAATTTTAAAAGTACCCATTTCGAGATAGTTTTAACTTTTAAGTGCCTAAATTGTCACTTGAGTTAGATACTTAAGGACGCTAAATAACAACGCATCATCTCAGCCGTGCCAAAACCGTTGAGTATTTGGTATGCATTTTAAAAATTATTAGCATAATTATGTGCACATGCGCATACAGTCACTGCACTTGTCTGTATTGAATGTGTTTCACACATTACCAAGTTATTCTGCTGCAGTATTTGTACGAAAATAAACCAGGCAAAAAACAAAACGTAATAAGTAATAGTGATTCATGCAGTTTATATATTTGTTTGACGGTTTTTCTCAAAATTCGAACTAACTAGGCACTATCAATTTAATTATAGCTCTTTACTGCCTGAAAACGTGATCAAGACAGCCTAATGTAAACAGTAGAAATGTGCCAAAATAAAGTATTCACATCGTCGTTACGTAGGTCTAGCTGGATTAGCTGTTATTTAGCTAATTTTATGTTCCTACAAAAAGTTTATTTTCTATTCAAAATATGACTCGTGTCTGGCAGAAATAAAGCATCGAGCTACCAAATGGAATTTTTAAACAGATTACTTCGGACAATGTAATACAACTTCTACATTTGTTCATGTTTACATCTTGAATTCTGGCTCAAAATGGCCAAGCCTACGCCTGTCGACCTTGCATTTTAACTGCGAACGGGGTCCTTGCCCTTTTAAATAAAAAGGTTGTATAATCTCCAACAGTACTTCAGAGTGTAGTGTAATCTTAAAATCTTCGGTACGGGTCAGAAATGTATTAGTATTTTTGTCACAATACTCTTGGAAGTTTGCCCGATAAAATAAAGGAAGACAGACAGGAGGCGGATTGCGAGTTCGACACGATACCAAGCTCTTAACGCGTAGGTATATAAAAATATGATATCAATGGTCGATGAACTTTTCTTAGTGAAATGTAAGGAATCCGTTTAGTTCATAACCTAAAATACACAGTGAACAATGTGAAGATACGTAACACGCTGCTTATATAACTTGTGTTTCCTCAAGTTAGTTTAGTGATTCAACAGCGTAAAATTTTCTTTATCGTTGACCAGCGCATACACCCTCAAATCACATGACTTTGTTTTGTTGCTTACCATAAACCTACAGGCGATATTGTTTAGATTTGAGAACTATTGATTTATTATAACACTACTCTTCTATATAATCTTACATCTTATACTCTTATACTTATATTTATTATATAAAGCGGAAGAGTTTGTTTGTTTGTTTGCTTGATCGCGCTAATCTCCGTAACTACAAGTCTGATTCGAATAATTCTTTTTGTGTTGGATAGCGCATTTATCGAGGATGGCTATAGGCTATAAAACATCACGCTACGACCAATCGGAGCTGAACAGAGCGTGTGAAACCGCGCGGAAGTATCTAGTAAAATACATTTTTCAATATAGGTACCCAGTATTTTGTATACAGACAGTGTAACAGAAAACATCTGAAAATTAGAAAATCAGTATCAATAAATTAGTTAGGTCTCTAGTAAGAAGAATTTAGCTATTAAACTGTCAATGTCAAACACCAAGCGGTCACCGGTGACCGCAACCTATTGTTCTATAATTGTGTCTATAATGACGGTACTCGACGAGTTAAAACTAGTAATAAGTATTTTCGGTCTAGTAAATGAGCGTCGTCATTCATTTCAGTTTAATGGCAGGAAGGTGACGATCGTTCCACTTTTGTAATCAGAGCCGTCAGCCAAAGACGATTAAGACTCTGTGTTGATACTAACCCAATTAGGAAAAGGCCAGAATATATACCTATTTATTGCAATATGTAAATTGCAGTATGATGCAGACGCTTTAGCATTCATAAGTACGTACATTTCCCAAATGAATAATACTAATTATAAATTTAGCTTTTCGCCCGCAGCTTCTTCCGTGGTACTCAAATATTCTTGACTTTAACCTTCTTTAAGAATCAGTCAATCCACTTGTAAAATCAACACACAAATTATCCAGTCATTTTTGAATATATCATAAGATAGACATGCTGACTCTGTATTATGATATAATGTATATACTGTGGGTAAGATGTAAGGTAATAATCGAAGAAAACATACATATATCATCTTAAACATCTTGTATTCAGATAATAGTTCGTTAGTGATTAATTGCTAACACTTGGAAGAAATAAAGATATCTAATAAATTCATAGACTATGAGTAACAACACATTAGTGTCTGCTACTTCTCTCGTCTATCTTCGCTGTCATTTTCGAGATTCATTAGTACAATACCTGGCGATAAATATTGCGCACCGACTTTGGAACGATACAATTTTTGTGTGATCTTACGATCGTTTATTTATTTGTACAATACGTTTTCTTTTTAAACTGAAGTATGATTATATGATTTCATGAAAGTGCTACTACTTTTAACGGCTATTTGATATGCAATACATATAGCCAGGTAGTGTATATGCAGTCCATATTCTCATACCGTACAGATACGAACTACCTCGTTCATTAACATCGGACTAATTAGTTAAATGCTACCAAATAGTAATCTACTAATGGAGGCAACGTACCCAACTCCACTTATCTGTCTACTGCAATTTTTAGTTGATAAATGTGTGACACTAATTTTGTATTGTTTAAACTTATTACCGTTTTAAATACGATACATTCGTATTTGAGTCAATGAGTAATTTCACATTACTGGTTTGTGAAATTGGTTTTTTTAACCGTTGATTTAGAGTACGTTTTCTCATTCAGATTGTCGTTAATCATTAATGGGTCCTAAAAGATATTTGATATACTTTGAATTGCATTCGTGGTAAAGTTTATTAATGAACTATAAAAAGATTGTTAAGCAAATGTATTTTGTTGTGGAATCAATGTTTTTTTGTTTATCTAACATTGTAATTTTATTGTTTTCAGGAGTCATGGTGTCGTCGTTGGCGGCCCGCGCGCCGTACATTTTTCACAAGTGTATGTACACATGGATCTAAAACACCAACAAAAGTCGAGCATGAAAAATCTGAGGGTAAGGATTTAGGAAACTAAAACCCAACAGCATTCATAAAATATATTTATTACAGAAAAAGAGACCATCACCAATAATACGGTACACTTTGATCGCGAACTAACAACTATCTATGTTAAAAGGATATACCTAAATCTACATTAGATACATGATTTTAAGCTAAATATTTATATTATTAGGTACATACTATTTACTAGCAATAATTTATTAGTGTTATTTGAATACAGATCACATTTTATGTAAGCAAAAGCTTATGTTAATAATGTAGACATATTATTTTAATGACTTATTGCTATTCAAACTATCGTAACACGACTCTAAGACTTCGAATTCTTCGAACACCATTTCACCGAATTTTCCTGTTGTTACTTTACTTTGATCTAAGTTATCGTTTACGTAGTAAAATTTCTTCTCAAAGGTATGTGCATTAGACGCTTGTTTGTCTCCTTGCGCATTGTTTGACTTTGCATCCTCTGAACTCCCTTCTTCTTGTTCTATGATTATTGTTTCTTTCTTGGTTTCAACTACGGGTGCTATCTGCTGAACAGGAGTCTCCTTCTTTTTAACAACAGCATCATTTTGTTTTAGCGCTTCAATTTTGGATTTAACTGAATCCTTTTTGATTCCACTGTCTTTATTATCAAATGGAGTTTTTACAATACCTTTGCTGTAGCTTTCTAGACGACAGATTTTGTTTTTAACTGAATTTTCATCGTCGTGCACCAGTGGCGGGTCTTCTCTGGATAATTGTTTTTTGAATTTATTTCGAGGATTTTTGCTATCATCAGTACCTGTGAGCTCAAGACGGCTACTACAACTGTTGGATTTTACTAATTTAAATTTAAATCCTGGAAAGCTTTCTGTTCTTTTGTCTTGATTTTGGTTTACTGCATTTAAACTTGTGTTAGAATTTTGTTTTTCAGCAAGCATTTGCTTGTGTTTATCTGCGACCAGACATGAACACTTATCACCTCGACATTTCGTTTGACAAGAGTAGCAATCCCTGCTACAATTTTTTTGTAGACTTTTAATTTCTTCCATTATGGCTTTTGTCATAGGACTCACTGTTGAGCCAGTTTTTGAAGTTAGTACTTTACCTCCATAGTAAGTTATTGAAGTACCACATTCTCTTATTTTCTTTAAAATGTCAGGGCTTACGTATTGACTTTCACAGCAAAAGTCTTGGTTCATTGAATCACAGAGGTATTCTTCACTTGAACTGTAAGCATTATCTTTAAGATTTTTCTGTGAATATGGACTCAAACCATCAGTTTCATATTCGTTGTTTGAGCTAAGATCTCCGCTCGACACACCGCTTGACAGACTAGCATTGTCCCATTTCTTATTGCCGAAGTTAGTGTCTATAGTCAATTGTCGTATAATTTTCTTACGTCCACCGTTTTTAGTTCCTTTTGTCTCTTCATTGAGGCTTCTGTAAGATGTAGCTCTTCTTGTTAAACCTAGATTTTCGTTTACCAAGGGTGGATCATGTGTCATCGGACTTTTCATTTTCAAAGTGTCTTCGAATAAGTTCCTTACTTTTTTAACAGTATCAGGGTTAGGAAGTTCTTCTTCTATAATTTCTTTATTAACTCTTATCGGATGATAAAAGAAATGTCGTCTTACTGCATTTTTTGGCTTATCAGTTAGGTTAGCATTGCTATCGTTTTTCTTTAGTAAGGTAGGTGGAATTTTGCACGTGTCTGTATTTTTTCTGGGCGTGGGTTCAACCTTAGTCCGAACTGGTTCAATGATTACGATGTTGTTGTTTACCAATAATTCTTGAAAGCTATAGTCTTGTAGATACTGAAGTAATCCATCGAATTGTGCTTCTTTGCGGTAGTTAGCAATCATGCTGTTTTTAAAGAGTTCCGATTTCATGACCTTGTATCTTACGTGATCGAAATCGTCACATCCTTTTTCGTAACCTTTGGCTTTTATTAATGTAGCTTGAGTTTTTTGATTTTGATTATCATCACTGCTCAACTCTACTATTTCTATCTCAGGAGTATCTCTGCATAAATCTATTTCAGATTTTGCTAAATCACTCTTGTCATAAAAGTTTGTGTCATAGTCCTTTACAATTTTATCCAATGTGGATTCTTCAATTTCTGAATCACTTTTAACTTTTTCAGTTTCATCTTTCCATAACTGTAGTTTTGTCTGACTTACTTTGCGTATGCTGTCTACAATTTTAACGCTTTCTAAAGTTTTGATAATATTTCCTACTGATATTTCTGATAATAACTTACTATCATCGATCTTCTGTTGATCCTTTTCTTCTTTCTCTTCACTTAAGTCACTATCACCTTCATTGTTGTTAAAATCTTCTTGATTGACATTTATTTCTGGTTTATTAATGTTTTCATTAAAATCTGGATTCTTATCTATAAGTTTCGACCAATAGTTTTTTACTGAATTTATTTTCTCTTGATATTCTATATCGGTTTTTATTGCATTGTTTAACTTTTCTTTTACGTTAGTGTCTGCTTTCAAATCTTTGACCTCGTCCTTAGCATCAATTGTATTATCAAGTTTTTTGTTAACTGGTGAATTTGTTTCATGGTTATTTTCCATCTTTGTTGCAATATTTTGCTTTTTATTTTTGGAATCAATAACTTGCAATACCTGAGGTCGAGTCATTGTAGTATTTATTTTTCTGAATGTGTATAATGATTGTTCCGGACAATTTTTATTGTCTTTTATTATTAATTTAGAAGGTGGTTTCTCAAATTTATGCTGGACAAATGATATATTGTCACTTGTTTCCTTTTTCAGTTTAGGTATTGTAGTTTTAACTACCTTGTTTAATTTTATAGTTATAAAAGGATCTTTAGGTGTGTAGTAGCTGGAGGTATCAATACAATTATCTACTGTGACTTTTTTGACTTCTTGGTTGATTGGTTTAATTTCCTTGTTGGGCTCTGTTAATGCAACTTGTTCAAATTTCGGTTGTATTTCTAACGCAGGTTTTACTACTGTTGTTGGTGGTACTGGCTTAGTTTCTGGTTCTCGTTGTATACTTGATTCTATCCGGCTAGTTTCGTTAGGTTTTTGTGATAGCGGTGGATCGATAACAATGGTTTGATGGCCACTTAGTGGGACTATTGCAATATTAGATTCTGCTGATGTCTTAAAAGATTGAACTCTAGATAGAAGTGAATGTGTTTTTGTTTCTTCAGTAGTAGCTGGTTTCTGAGCAGTGACTTCAGAATTCGTTTTATTAATACTTTTTTCTACTGTGTCCGGACTAGGAATACGAATGATTTCGTCTTCCTCTGTTGGATCACGTTGACGAAGAGAATAATGTTTTTTAATTATTCCAAGTCGTGGTTTCTTATCAATCACGGATTTATTTATGTTATCATTTGATAATGATTTTGTTATATTAATTTCTGGTCGGTAACCAGAATTTGATATTTTTAAGCTTTCAGACTTCGTTATGATTTTATTATTTCGTATCGTTCCTTCTATTTCATTGATTTCTCTTTCGTTTTGATGGTTATCTGAACGAAAATAGTTTGTTTCTTTTTCGTCAGCGTTAGAACTCTCAATAGTTATAATAGATTTTAAATCGTCGTCAAGTTTGTTAAAGCTTTGTATTATCTGTGGTTCAGAATATTCTGGCAGATAAATGCAGTTGTTTGTTTGGATTTTGATGTTATGTGTAGGTTTTGTATAGGTTTTGTTAAGTTGACCGTAGTTTTCAGTACCTTTTGAAGACAATATCTCTCTGAAATGAGTTTGAGCTATTTCATATGTGTTTTCACAAGGTATATCTTCCGGATCTTCTTCTCTTAGTTGGGCGTCAATACGTTCAGATTTTCGTAAGCACTTGCTGATATTTATGTCAGGCAGAGAATAGTACTGATTTTCGATAAGCGTAGTAACGAAAGGCTCTGTAGTTATATTTTTAGAGGTACAGTGACTCTTAGTAGAATATGTATCACTTTCAATGTATGTGTTACTGACATAGACTTCGTTGTTTTGTTTTTTCAATATTTCGTTGAAAAGATTACCGTTTTTCTTTAAAAATGAGTCTCTTCGAATATCCGCAAATGTCTTTTTCTTGTTGACTTGTGTGTATATAGGATCTGTTTCTTGATTATTATGTTCAGAATTTAGGGTGTTCGATGCAATAGAAGCGTTTTCTTTAAATTGTGAGTCGCAATACTCATCAATTTTTTCGGCGAGGGAATTGGCCAAGTACTCTAATTTATGGGACTTATCAGACGAAGCAATTGATATTGAAATATACGAAGTTATACTATCAGGGGGGCTAGACACAATTTCGTCGTTTTCAGAGGCTACAGATTGTACATCATTATCGTTTTTCGATTCATCTATTTGTATGACTTCGGCTGGTTCAAGACTAGTTTGTCCTTCACTCTTTTTACTTTTTATAGAAAGTTTGTCATATGTTTCTGTGTAACTTAATGGCTCAGGATCGTCAGGCTTATCTTTCTCACTTCGCGTAAGACTGTCGTTAGTGAATGATTTTGGTGTAGTGTTTTTAGATCGCTCTTTGTCTTCGTTATCAGTTGCGTGTTCGTCAGTTGTCACGTAAAGTTCTTTGCTAGGATTAGGTGAAGTAATCGATCGATCTGATTCAGGTGAACTTTCCTTATAATTTTTTCTATGAGCTTCGAAATTGTAATGTTTTCTTACGTAGTTAGAGTCTAAACTATCAATTTCACTCGGATTACGAGAGTGGCCAATACTATCTTCGGATAAGTTGGTTTGTTTTATTTCTTCATTCAAATTTGGCCAACTTCCACTTACAGATCTCGAATGATGACTCTCGTTTTGTGAAACAACTTCTTCTTTCTCTGATCTATTCTCAGGATTATCTGGTTTTTCGTTTTCTTTCTGCGCGTTTATGTCTCCAAAGCACGAAGCGGTGCTATCAATGTATATGCTTTCCAGAACTTCCTCTTTTGTTTGATATTTTGCTCGACCTGGCAACCTGGAATGAGATATGTAATCATGTTAGATTTGTA